CGTCTGATCGAGCCCGCCTCCCTCGTAACCGCGCCGAACGGAGACGGAAGCACTAACCTGGCTCTTGGCGGGGAGGGAGGAACAGCAGAACCGTTGCAGCGGCGTTCCACCCGCCCGGGCCTGGCATCGTGGGGCTGTGGCGCCTCTGGGACGTTCCCATTCTCACGGCAGTTCGTCTCCCATCACGTGCTCCAGGGCTGGATAAAGCTGCTAAAAACCTGGAGCGCGTTCTCCCCGCCCGAGGCCCTGGGTCCCGCGGCCCCGGCTGCCGCGCGTCACCGCAGATGAACGAGGATCGCCTCCCCTCGGCGAGGAAGGGGAGCGGGTCCTGCCGTCGCCCGCAGGCGTGCGTCTCCCCCCCTGGATTTCGCCACCGGAGCCCGGGGGGCTGCTGGCCAAGGCCGACGTGCCTGTAGCGCTACCGTGAACTCTAGCGCGGGGCGGGGGAGGAACCGCGGGTTTGGTTTAGGAGTTGTCCAATTGTCATAAACTTTTGCGCTGTGCGCAAAACGCGGTAAAACGATAATGGAACTTACCTGCTAGAACCTAGGAACTGTAAAGGCTATGCAGCCAAACCTTAATGTAAAGTAGCTAGTACAATGGAAGTACGGTATAAATTAAAAAAAAAAAAAGTCTCTCAAACAAACAGCGCGACTTGTGAGTGCTTTGTTCTTTTTATTATCCTGCCTGTTCTAATGTCTCTTCTGTCATTGCCGAATACAGAGTCTTTTCAGAGACCAACCAGGACCGTCTCTTCCAGGACACAGCCTGCCTTTACCACCACTCTTGAAAAATCCCAATTTGTTTTTGGGTTTTGTTTTGGGTTTTTTTTTTCCTATGAGAATCTTGAGCAGAATTTACACACCACTTTCTCTTGCCTAGAACAACACAGGGCAATAGTCATACTTGTCTGCGGGAACTTGAAAAGTGAAAGGTATGTCAAAAAAAAAAAAAAAAAAAAAGCATCTTAAGAAGATGCCTGTAAGATACCAGAAGGTGCAGGACTAGAGGACGGCCCTTCTTTACCACCTGAGGTAGCTCTCGAGAAGTTCTTGGTTTACTCCTTTTTTATCCTTAACATTGTGACACCAGAGGGTTATCCATGCTTCACAGGGACTGAGGAGCAGAGCTGAAGTGGGAGAGAGGTTACATAACCTTACCTAAAAATCACCGGGGGCGTCAATGCCGTGGCCAGTGATGGAAACTCTGGAGTTACAATCTAGTCCCTCCTCTGTGGCCGTGGGTTTCGAATTAGGATTATGCCCAAAATTGCCCCGAGGCCAGGCAGGTTGGCCTAGGGAAAATGAAGACACCCAGCTGAAGGAAAAGAGCTGAGCTGCTTTTTCCCCTTTTGGGTAATAGGTTTCAAGGAACCGGTGCCCAGGCCACAAGTGTGCTTCCTCTGGAAAAGGCGCCCAGGTTGCCAGGCTGGGCTCCGGACTCGTTTGCTCAGGCTGACACCCGCTCTAAAAAAGGAACTTGGGAATCCTGGCCTGGGTCTGACTTACGCATGGAGTAATTCCTGTGATTTTCAGCAACACATAGAAAAGCAGCAGAACAAAGCAGAGGGAATTCCATAGGTGGGAAGCATGCCTCGATTCACAAGCACTCTGGAACTATTTAGAAGCGGTCAGTGTAGCAAAATCTGTCAACTCTTGCAAGCAGTACAGGCTCCATTGCAGCAGGGATGTCACAACATCTGCTATATGAAAAAAGCAAACCTTCCCCCGTTTTGTCTTAAGGTTTGATTCCACCCCCGCCAATTTCTGCCTTTTTTTCTCCTCGTAATCCTAGTTGTTGAGCTCAACTGTTCTGCATTTGAGGCCAAATTTTTCTCTGCTTAATCCACTACAACTGCATTTAGAGCGCGATTCCTGCGCGGCGGCGGATCATTTATGAGGAATGCTGACTATTCAAATCAGGGGCTAAGAAAGAATTATGATGAACGAGGGAAAAATAAGCGTTTTCTAGTCCTCTAGGTGGTGCTGCGCTACAGCACGAGCAGACCATCGCAGTGACAGAAAGCACTGCCGCTTGACAAAGCTGTCCGCCCTTCTCCCCCGCGGGGGCTGCGCGCCCCATTTCCTTCGCTCGCCCACTTGCAGCAGGCCGCCCTCCTCCCGGGGGTCCCCAGAACCAGGTGACCCGCGTCCCCTGCTGTTGCCGAGCTCGGCTCCGCAGGTTTCCCCTAGCGCTGCGTCTCTGCGAGCAGCAAACCTGCTCTGCCAGGCAAAGGGAAGGAGCGAGGAATTTTGTCACTTGCTAAGTGAAGGTGCGGGGGGGCGGGGGGCACAGGGGATTCTTATACTTACGTCACACTGCCTCCCAACGTGGCAGCACTTCAGGAGCCGTATGCTCAGCTCCCTCCTTCAGAAGCAAGCGTGACCGTGGCGCAGGGACTCAACCCTTCCTACTACACATTTTCCACCATCCGAATGCATTGCAGTCCTCATCCTCCTCTGCCTGCGCACGGGCAGCCCAAAGTCCAGAGCGACTGACCGAGCGACAACTAATTAATTCAATTCTTCCTGTTTTAACACCGATAAGGTGTTACGCTTGGGCTGTAACACATGGTGGAACATCACCCTAAGATGACCTTATTCCCAGTCCCGCAGGTCAGAGTACCGTGACATACATACCCTTTACCTCTGCAATGGAGAACTAGCATATTTAGCAAATAAAGGTGGTGGTGACAGCAGCTAAGAAATGACACTTCACATTTACAAAGCGATTAACGTGGTGATGGGACTGAAACTTGGGAAGCAGCCGTGCTGCCCGCACCCCGTGCCCTTTGCTCAGCATGCTTCAAAAGGAGTCCTTTAGCAAATGGGCTGGCAGCTCAGAATGGAGTCATGAGGCCAAAGTCAAGGCTGTACAGAGTCCAAGGCAAATGGAAGAGAATTTACACTTCCCCGTATTTTCTCCCGACGGCGCAGAGCTCCCCCTCAAACCTGGCTGGCGTGACGCGGTCCTTCTGGTCTTCAGAGCCCCTGCAAGTGAGAGAATTCCTCTTGGAGCACGAGTCGTTGGACCTTACTGAAGTGAGGATCGCGATACAATTCCCGTGATAACTGACAGGACACGAACGAGACTTTACAAGACCTAGATTTTGGTCTTTTGCACACAAAGTCCCTCCTAGCAGATGCTTCCTTTGGAGACAGTGCCCTTACATTCCTCCGGAGCAGAGCTCCCCCTCTGCAGGGGACAGTGACTTATTCCCGACTCAACAGGAACAGGCAAAGGAGGAGTAATTACACCAACGGCCTGAAAGCGAACGTGCGTGTCGGTTCGGGGTTTACAGCACTATTAGTGCGCCTACATTGCTTCTAAGATCACTGGGGAAGCTCCAGAGAAGGAGCACAGCCAGACTCCAGGAGTGTCCCGCCCGCCTCTTCTCCCGCCCCACGCCTGCCTAACCCACTGCAGCGAGGCTGAAGGGCTGGCAGAGGCAGTGACTGACCGGTCCCTCGTCGCCTACCTTGGTGCCGTTCCTTCCGCTGACTCCTCTCCGCTATTCCTCCACAGGCACGGCACAGTTTTCCTTGTTTTCAGATGGAATCGCAAGATAGTCTGTCCTGGAGTTGAGGGAAGGAGGAAAGCATAACCTCGGGTGCTGCGGTGCAAAAACCAGTGCGGGCCCATCCACCCTTACAGAGATGCTGAACGCCTGCAAGTGTCTCTAAGGTAACAAGTGTCACCTGTAGAAGACGCTCGCAGTAGGAAACTCTCCTCAGCATAGTCAGGAGCAGACGCTGAGTCTTCCCGACTGTAAAATCCTGCATGTGCAGCCTTCCTACCATGTACAAAGCGCACCCTTACCCATGCCAAGTGAGTAGAAAGATGGGAATGGGCCAGTATATAAATGGGAACATCTCTGCCGTGCCAACTGCCTCTGTGAGTCAGAGCTCCCAAAGCAGGAGGGCACCTCCGCGCAGTTCAAACCGGGCCACTGCGGAATACCGTGCGCTGCGGCCCCGCTCCCCCCGTGCTGCGCTGTGCGAGTGCGCTCGCTCTTTTGGCACTCCCGACCGTTGTCACGGTTTCCGGCACAGCAAACATCAGCTAGAAACGCGCAACAGCCAAGTTCAGTCTTCTTGCAGGCTGACGTGGACCGAGACGCCTGAAGAACCCTCGCGGAACAGCTCACATCCGGAGAGATTTCACACTTACGCGCTTTCCTGGGCAGCCTCCTCTGCCTTAGAGACCTTCCTGTAGCAATAGACCATTTCTATCAGCAGCCACAAGGTGAGGAAGACCAGCAGAATATACATCATAATTTCAGAGATGACCGAGGTGAAATCTTCTCCAGCTGTTGAGAAAATGAAATAACCTCTGATCATTTACATGCAGCTACCAGACCAGAGCAGCTCCACTGGCACTCCCCACCCTCGTCATCCTTCCTAACCCACCTTGCCGGAGATACCCAGGGGCCACTGCGCTGCGAGGGGGCAAAAGACAGAGGGAACAGGCGAGGCTGCCCACGGGATTTGCCAGCAGCGATCCCACTGCGTGTTTCCAGCGGAATCGAGCGTGCCCCGGCTGGCACGTGTCTTGCACTCTCTGCCGCCCACACGCTCACCCAGACCGCGCACCGTTAGCCTGGCTCATCTCCACACTCTGCCTCCTTGGTGCTTCCCACCTGCCGTGTTACTTGACTGTGGTGTGCGGCAGCGATTTGAAAGAGATCAAAACACAGAGATGCTTGTGGGGAAGAAGGGAAGGGAAGTCGCAGCAGACAAAGATGAGGGCTAAAAGCTCTTGCCCCTCTCTGAAAAGAACAGCCCGATTTCTAACAAGCCAGGATCTCGACACTGGATGGAGCAAAACCAAGAGGAACAGAAAGAGCACGGCAAAGGGAAGGGGGGGACTGGGAGAGGGTGGAAGCAAGAGACTGCTATCAAAATGGAGAGTGAGTCGTTCCGAGAGGGAGGGGGCGGAAGGAAGGAAGCAGACGCTGCGGGTACCCTGGCAAAGGCTGTGCTGTAGCCTCCTAGAGCCAGCAGGGGAGAAGCGAGGGTTGTGAGCGGAGACACTGTAAACCTCTGCTTGCTTCTTGTGCCTGCCCAGCTGTTCCCAGCTGTTGCCCCAGCCTGCCGAGCTTTTTATACCTTCCGCCATTCACACACAACCTCTGAGAGCCTAAGAAGAGGCTGCAGCCACCAACAAAAGGCAGGTCTTTCCTCCCGAACCCTGCGTAGCGTTTGTTGCTGCCAGAAGGACAGACAGACACAATTATCTGGCAGCTCAGTCTCCCCTCTCCCGTGAAGCAGCGAGAACCTGTACCTCTGGATGACAACACCCGCGGCGAGTTAAGGCACAACGCGCTTTCTGCCCGTCCTTCATACCCTCCTCCACCACGGTGAGGTGGATCTGTCTGGAGCTCGCGAAGCATCTCGAATTCGAACTCCCGGGTGATGTTACAGGTGTAGATCCCCGAATCGTTCAAGGTCACATTTAACACCGTGATGGATACATCCTGCATGTCTTTACTCCCGTTCCACTGTAACCGACCACTGAAGCGGCTTGGAAATTCATGGTTCCTCTTCCTGTACTCGTAGATCTGTGAGGAAATGCGAAGCAGTATTCTGATTAATCGCGGCCTCGTATCTCAGACACCACCACAGCATTTGCAAGGACCAGCATCATCCTCTAGCTACACCCGTGTATGTTCTGGGCTATGGCTTCCTTAGCTATGCGTATTCTCAACATCCTTTACCTCAACATCTCGGACTGCAAAAGACAGAAAACTGAATTATCTCCATCACAGAGGCAGAAAAACTAAGGCACAGAAAAAGCCACACGTGGACCACGACACAAACGTCAGCAACAGAACTAAACCCCAGGATCCTGCGCTCTCCGTGCCTAGCCTGTCAGTCACTGCGCGTGAGGGCATCTCGAGAAGGGACCAGAGAGCAAACGCAGCGAAGGCAAACAGTCATTTTGGGTAAGCCCTGGGCTGCTCGGCTGAAACGGAAGCGTCGCAGGGTAAAAACGACAGCGTGAAAACGGTCCATCAGCAGAACGGAGCCCGGGCAGCTTTCGCAGGCCTCATCTCTTGCAAGTTTCCGGCTGCCCACAGTCCCCATCGTCACACTGCCCGCCCCAGCTCCCTTCCGCCAGCAACTCTTCGGGTTGCCACTGGCAAACGTATCACCCCCGTCACCGAAAGTGAATTCCCATCCAACTCCTTAGCGCGGTCCCTTCAGGTCTCGGACAGCAGAATGTTTGTCATCTCGCCTGCCCGTGCTCAGCTGTGATGAAATACAACCCCTGACCTAATGCTTCCTACTCAGATGAAACGGCTAGAAACAAACGTGTCCCAGCCTTAACCTTATCCTCCGTTTTACCATTCTTCATTTAGTTCCTTGTCCGTACGATTCCCTTTTCGATTCACTCTGAAAACCAATTTTGCCTTTTCCTGACAGGGACCCAGAGCCGCCCACAGTCAGGACACCACTGCTTTCTCTGGGGAGAAAGAAGGAAATCCTGTCCTGCAGATTTCCCAGAGCCCGATTTAACCCCCCAAAACAGCTCTGGGATTCAGAAGCGTCCTAAGAAGGGAGACTTGGCCGAGGGTCCCGGGTGCCACTCGGTACTTCCGTTGCCCTCCCCGATTTCCGCACGCACCAGGCTTTGCGCATTCAGGGGATGGAACTGGAAGCTGACGCTCCTGTAGGTACGGCCCCAGGTGTCTGAACTCAGCACAGCTTCTAGCTTTTCCTGCCAGGAGTCCGTGCTGTGCCCAAGTGGGGAAATCAGCTAAGTCAGGAAAAGGCACTTTAGTCACTGCTCAGAACTGGCGCTGTGGAACCGCCGGGTGAAAATGCTGCAGAAGTTGTGAAGGTCTGCAGCTGGGAGCCGAACTCCAAGCTCGTCTCTCCTCCATGCTACGAAAGCAGCCTGCCGGGCATTTCTGCAGACTTGGAATGAGAACGTGGCAGGAAGCTTTTGTGCATACTTGGGTCTCTCTCCTTGCCTCATACTGGGGGACCCTGCTGCAGGACAAACTTACACTCTCATAAATACCTCTCGGCTTCTCCCACATGAGTTCACTGGACCGTGTTTCACAATAAGGCCTATGAAAACAAGGGCTCAGCTACCAAACATACATACAGGTTCATCTTTTCCACCCTCCGGCCTGTAGAACCACTCCACCACCGTGCTGGCTGTCACCTCTTCCCTCTTCATGCAGGAGATGCAGAGCAGCTTCATGTGCGTTCCTTGGACAGCCTCTGTCTCTGAGGGAACTTCAACACATACTGCAGAACAAAAACCAGCTAGGAAGAAGGAGCAGCAGAGAAGAAGCGTAAGACAGAATTAGAGAGAGACATCGGTTACCCACACCTCAGCATTTACGATCACGTCATGCCCAAGGGGGAAAACTGTTTGATTCGCTGCTAGCACCCCCTGACAGCAGAGAAGTCTCGAATGCCACATTTTACCCAACCTCCTTCTCTGAGGTATAAATAGTTCGTAATAATTAACAGAGGGTGCTCACTCCATGCAGATTCACCTCTCCAGAATCTGCTTTTCCACAACTTCAATTTTTCCTATAGTAATCGCTGCTGCTTCTGAGGCATTGTTCGCCCTCTCCCGTGCACGCCGAGCGTGCTCCTGCTACGGCAGCGGTTACAGTCTGGGATGACAGAGCGCCCCGAATCCTAGCGTGGGGGAACGGCTCGCTCTGTGTGCTAAGTGGAAAGGTCTGGGTGTTTTAACCTGGCGAGGTGTTCGAAGCTAACTGGGAGGATTCGCCACCCTTCCTGTTTCTAGGTTTTGTAAGCGGCACTGGGAATCGAGGGGCTTCGGCTTGAGTAAATTTGGCAGCGGGAGGAGTTATTGATTTTACAGGCTTTCCTGTTCAAAACGCTTCCAATTAGATCTGTGCCAACACTGGCAACCATGAAATACCGCTCTCCCAAACACGACAAAAATCATTGTCTGCGAAGCTGCGTACTTGATAAGAAAAGGAATGCTTCAGCATGACATCTCAGACTAAATCCCTGCTGACATTTGTCCCCTGGGCTAAACCATACTGGGTTCTGTCTGTCCAAACCCATCTCCAAAGCCTAGAGTTCAGCTCGCTGAAGATGCTGACTTGGCTGGCTGCTCCCTCCTCCCCAGCCTCTGAGATGCCATTAACCCACTCGCTCGAGCACTGTATCATCCCGGTACCTATCCTGGAAACAGCCAGATGCCAATTCTCCTGTACTACCGGCTCCATGGGTAGCAGCACCAGCTTTCTGGGAGCAGCTACTGGATCGTGCTCTACTCTGGTTAAATTAGACCCATCCACGCAGACAGGCACCCACACACGGAGCTGTGGGTATACGTGCACGTCAAACGTGGCCGCCTTGGCAAAACTAATCAGCCTCTTCTGGGCTGCAGAGGGAAAACTGTAATCGCAATAAAACGGTTATATAGACCGCGCGGAAAACCAGCACTAACGTGCGCTGCTGGACGGTCTGCACGTCCTCCCCGAGGCAACTGAACGTTCAATTACATTGCACATTTCAGAACAGCAGCGACCAGGAAACGGTAAAGAACTTGCACGCGTATTAAAGCACCCGCTTTGTGCCCTGAGTCTACTCAGTAGTAACGTATTTGCCTGCTCATATCAGCTCCACTGCGCTCACTCCTGCTCCCTGGGCACGAATGTCGTTTTCTCCTCTCGTAAACAAAAAACCCGCTCCGAAGGCTGGTCGTCGTGCCAGCACGAACGGAACCTCGCTACGAAAAGCGGTGCTTGAAACGAGCACCCGGCGAGAGGCGAGCACCAGATTTGGTGGGGAACCCGGCTGAAGGGAAGACGAACGGAAGCACCTACCCCAGACCACCAACGCGACCGAAGACGCACAAACCAGCCTCGG